CATTAATTTACAATTGATTTGGCTTGAAATAACCGTCGGTTCTATGCTAACCGTTTCTTTTTCTCGTACATTGCAAACGCAAAAAGTGATCAATTTTTTAAAAGAACTGTCACGGTCGATGAAAAATGGATGGTTTATAACAATGTGGAGTGAAAAAAAGTGATTCTGTGAATTGGAGGAACATTGTGTAATACAAGCTTCTTTTGTAAGATTAGGCGTTGAATTTTACCCAGATTGTCACCTAGAAAGACACAAAATTATGGGAGGATGGAATAATAAAGCTCAAATATGGCGACTGATAATAGATCAAGATGACACGTATATGTTTGAATACACCTGTATGCAAATATCTAAATATTGTCTTTGAATATCACGAAAAATAAAAAAAAAACGCTACAAGATTTTGCACTAACCCAGTATAGTGATTTTCCGAGCACAGCCTAGATGTGGCACAAGGCCAAAATTAGGGGACACCCAGTGAGAATCAAAATCACTACTCAGCCGTAAATGTTCTGGCGAGACAAGCTTGCTAAACATTACACCACATCGGGATGCCCAAAATGATTTTCTAAGGGCTGCTTATATGTGGCACAAGGCCGAAAGTATTGAGCACCCAGTGAGGATCGAACTCACTACTCAGTCATAATATGTTCTAGCAAGACAAGCTTGCTAACCATTACACCACGCCGAGGTGACCACACTATCCCAGTATATAGCTTGAAATCGGACACCAGCTTAATCGTGGAAATGTTAGACTCGTTTTCGTCCACTTCCACTGATGATTAGGATAAAGTTCGAAAAAGTTGAGGAGTTGAATGTTGATCATGAAAATCCCTTTGCAGATATTTTTGACGCCATTTTGTTTTGTTTTTTTCCAGTTTGGAGTGTACTAAGTTAAAATAAGTGGCAATCAGTTAAACCGACGAGGACCGACCGTCGCTTAAAATAATGAAACATCAATCTTATTCTAGCCACAGAGACGCGATCACATCTAATATTTGATTAAACGTAGATGTGTTTGCCGGTTCTACTATCGCTAGGATAGTACTATAGCTTGGATGTGGCATAAGGCCGAAAGTAAGAGGCACCCAGTGAGGATCGAAATCACTACTCAGTCGTAATTATTCTCTAGCGGAACAAGCTTGCTAACCATTACACCACCTCGAGGTGCCCTATCGCTAGGATAGTGATTTTCCAAGCATAGCTTAGATGTGGCACAAGGCCGAAATTAGGGGGCACCCAGTGAGGATCGAACTCACTACTCAGTCGTAATTGTTCTAGCGAGACAAGCTTGCTAACCATTACACCGCCTCGAGGTGCCCTATCGCTAGGATATTCGAAAAAAAAAAAACAAACAACGGCAATACAGATGTACATATCGAGCTACGGAACAACACACGGTGTACATTTTTTGTACTCCTCTTCAACATAAATAACAGCTTGACGCGTTCTAAAGATATTTATTCTAGAGCCTTCTTTAAAGCGTTCGAAAGGGTTTGGCATTGTGGTCTTGTTCAAGTTGAAAAGATCTCTGAACTCTGAATGAATTTTGGAACTGATTCAGTGTTTCTTATGTAAACTCGAAATGAAAGTGTCCTGAGCCGTCATTCTTTAAGAGTCTTTCGTTCTAATGCAAGTGGTCCCACTTTGTTCATATTTTTATCAATAAAGTTCTGGAGTTTTGAACTGATCCAGTCTTATTCAAACGCGAAATGAAAGTGTCTTGAGTCGTCATTCTTCAAGAGCCTTTCGTTCTAATGCAGGTAACCCCAGAGCTCTATCCATGGCCCTAATTTGTTCATATTTTTTATTAATAACCTTCTTGATGACATCAACTCTCAACTTGTTATCCCTGCCGATGACACAAATATTTAATCATATCTCGATAATCAGTCTAATCAGATCGATATAGGAAAATTGGCGACTGATCTAAAAATAAAGCTGCAGTCTGCTGTTAACTGGGGCAAAGGACAGCTTGTTACAATTAGCACCGTCAAAAAAAAACAAAAACAAAACAAAAAAAAAAAACAGCTCTCTATTAATCATCTGAGAGACCATTTTCTGCATTCCATCAGCATGGGTGATTCTGACCCCCGGGAGAGTTACTCGATGCGTCTCCTAAGGCTTCTAGATTTAACTTTCTCGGCTGACAAGAAAGTTTGTTCGCTGTGTCATACAAGACAAATTTTGTCTCTAGAATCTGTCTTACATATTTATTAGTCTAACTTTCGTCCATACTGCTGCCACATCCTGTCCGGTGTTCCTGATTTATATTTAAGGATTCTTGATAAAATCTAAAGAAGAATCTGCAATATTATTGGTCCTGGTCTGGCGTCTCGGTTTCTGTCACTTTCCCACCCTCGTAAAGTTACTTCCCGTTGCTTCTTCTATAAATACTTTCATGGTAATTGTTCGTTATGTTTCTTGCTTTATTTCCTTCCTCTACAGACAATAAATTGTACATATAGGAGACTAGTCAGAACTTCATGGATATTCTGAGGTATTTTGGTGGATAAATTAAGAATGGTAAGTAAGAATGCGTTGTTTTGGTGCAAGGGTATTGTTGTATGTTTGGGTCAGCGATTGTTGCTAGCTAAGTTAAACGTTAAGACAGAACAAGACCGCCCTTTCCCTATTTTGGCCTTGTGCCACATTTCTGTATATACTCAGAATAAATATTGCTCTTCGTTATGGTATCTAGAATTTATGCGCAGTACTAGATTGGCAGCTAGGTCTCATCATTTTACATTTGATTTGGCTACATGTAACTGTAATTTCTATGCTAATAGTTTCTTTCTTGCACTTTTCATTTGTGGAACTCTCTTTCGGCTGGATGATTTCCAGTCAACTCTGCTCTTCAAAAATTGAAATGCAATGTCAATTGCTATCTACTGTCTTCTTGATCACTTCTCTATTGTTCCCGCCCCTCGATAATGCTTGTTTTCTAATTCTGGCATACCCAGCAACCCATTTTGTCTTAGCGTCTTTACTGCCTTACTTGGGGTGAATTCGATCAAAAAAGGAGGCATGTCAGTCAGCATTTGACGGCACACATTTTAAAGAATATTATTAAATAATAATAAATAATATTAAACCTAGCCCACTGTTTAATGATATGTATTGCCCTCACGAAAATATTATGCTTAATTTTAACTCCGATGGAGTATTAGCTGGGTAACGTAAGGCTAGGGATCTAGCCAAGCAGCGCGATGTTGCGCAAATGTAAATATATTTAATCGAACGCCCTATCGAATTAAAGTCAAGCCAAAGTGGTAAAAGCTAGGTTTAAAGTGGTAGTTACATGCATATATTGGAGTAGTGAGAGCTTTACTTATCCAAATCGGAATTCCTCTTTTAAAGTCTTTTTAGATGTGAATGACTAAATACAGCACCCCCCGCTGTTTCAGGAGGGGTACTGTCTTTAATTTTAACTCTGATATAGTTCTGGCTAAGCATCTAAAGGTCAGCAGCGTGTTGTGCATTCTATAGATATTTAATCATACGTCTATGCCAATGGAATGAAGCCTGTCCGTATTTCAAATGCGAGTCCCACAAGTGCAAAAATATCGCTAAAATACCGATTCGTAAATTTTGCTCTCTATTTTTTGTAGAGAAGCCCCTCCACCGCCAACCCCTAAAGGTATTTTCTTGAGGCCCATCGGGTTTAGAGGCTCGACACATTTGTGCCGGTTGTCTCCCCACGTCTAGCCGCGACTGCTGGAACCAACACTACGACTTCTGTATTTTCTTTTATTTAAGATTACTTGTGTAAGATAGGATAACTGAGACAGCATGAAAAACATAATGCAGACGCTGACGGAATTGAGTTAGTTGAACCTGTAGACGCATTCGGAAAGAAGAGAAAGACGATGATTTAAACGTGTGAGGTCCGATATGGTGTACTTCGAATATGACTAAATAGCTATTAACTCGGACGGCTTTTTTCTCTTTTTTTTTTTTTTTTTTTGCATTTATATCAAATAGTCGTCTGATTTCTCGACAGATGTTGTACATATAAAATTCCATTTGTTTTATTAAAATTTCCTCCGTAATTTTAGAGAATATAAAATTCATTTTGCTTGTAATTAAATGAATCAATTTTGATAATTTTTTTTTTTAGCCGTTATGCTTCTATTTAAAAACAACAGCAAAAAAAAAACAGAAGAAACTATTGGTTAAAATTTCTGATTCGCTGATATAAGTAAGAAAATTTATTTTATTTCAAAAGAATATTCAACTTAGAATTATATTAACTCGCTGTAGTTGTCGTTCAAGGTTTCGTTATTGATTTAAATTTTTTCTAATATTCTGTTATTGTTATTCCCTATTTGATATTAAAAAAAATAACGTACTTATCTATTTTCCGAGTGAGATTCGTTGTAAGACAATTAGCATAATACAAGACCAGCGCTTTGCCCTCTATTCATAATTTAGCTTGCCAATTCAAAATCTTTTCGGCACAGTGAATATAGAATTCTGATTCCGCCTTTAAATCAATTTTCTTCTCATCGTCCATTGATTTCCCTTGTGGTTTTTCTGTTCTCATATTTTTCTTTTTATTTTGTTCGTGTTTCAATCGGAAAGATTCCATCTTGATCAACCTCCTCTGCATTCCCACGGAGAATACAAGACCCGCATTAATAATTGAATAAAGGAAAGGAGATAATAAGAGGGGGGGAATTCAGAGCCATCCGTCCTCCTCACCATGATTCGGGTGCTGTGTGCGGGCGGGGTGCTACAAGAATCCACTAAAATGGCAGAAAAGACATGACCAATTGCAAAAAAAAAAAAGAAGACTTTCGTATCACACAATAGACAGGTGGATTCTTGATAAAAATGAAAAATAAAAAAAATAAATAAAATAAACTTAGAGATCGGAAAGGAAACTGAAATAAATAAATTTTATTTATTTATACATTACTTATTATTTATATCGCCAGATTTACTGACATACGCTTTCCATAATTCTTCAATATAAATCTCATTTGCTCGCATAATAC